TCTCCTTATCATCCTTCAAGCCGGCGTTGCAATCACTTGCACGGTGATTCCTACTACCACACGTCTTGCAACGGGCACCCTTCTCTGAGGCACTAAACGCAGCCCAGTTGTGTTCAAACGCGCAATCCTTGCCCTTCTTGCAGCCGTTGGGCTGCGTAAAGAAAGTACAGGGTACTTTGCTTGTCGGCACGGTACCAGGCGAGGTGTTCTTAGGCGCTGGGGGAGCCTTAGGTGGAGTCTTAGGGGGGTACTTTGGTTCCCTTGCCCCTGGCGGCGACTCACCAGCCTCAACTCCCTTAACCTTCGGAGGTGGTGCTGTATCCCGAGGCCTATCCTTATCACTATCCTTTGAGCCCCGGTGGTTTATTGACTCCAACTCACTTAGGATCCTTGCATAAAGCTTATGAACCTTATCATTGTCTGGATTCATGTCCACCTGCAGCTCGGCACGGGTCAAAGAAACTCGGAAGCTTACCTCAGGGTATTGTTGAAGAACGTTACCAGAGATTCGGGAAAGTGCTCTGATTTGAAGAGCACAGTCCGGCAAAGAGCCGCCGAGCTCTGTCATACGCGCGCACCACCGCTTCCAGCGGCGGAGTATGTCTATTGTGTCTTGGATGCCCTTGCCTTGTGGTGGTTCCTGGATCTGCTTGAGACCCAGTTCGCGTTCATTTAAACTGCCAGGTCCGTATATAACGAACAACTTGCATAGCAGGGGCAGGAGCCCAGACACCCTAGCCGAGCTCAGCTCGTCTTTCACGCTTGCCGGCGTCGCGGAAATTATCATCGATTCCATTCGGCGGCATACTCTCTGCCAGCGGGGTTGATTCAACTCCGGCGAAGGTGTGGCTCTTGAGGTGAGCCTACTCATGGGATCTAACCTCAGAAAGGCCCTGTACCAGGCTGTTGCCTCGGACACAACCATCGTCCAAAGCTCTTCTGAGTTATCACTAACATCTGCCAGTGCTGGACGAACATTGTGGAGCCAGTCAGCAAAGGCCAAACACGAATCTGCACTCAACTCTGGAAGCGGGGGCAACGCTTGAACGCCCGGCTTGATCACTTCTGCTTTAACCCCAGCCTTTGGTGAACCCGCAATTTCAGCAACTACACCTTGAAGCTGAGCCATACCCGTCAACACCACGCTCAGTGGGTCAAGACCCTGTGGTCCAGCAGAAGTCTGATCCAGAGTCGTACCGTAATTAGGACCTTCACCCGTGGTATGATTACCCTGTGGCGGCATAGCTGGAGACTGGACCTGACCTGCTGACATCGCACCTGGTGGCGGCACCTGACCTGAAGGCAAGACCTGACCTGCTGACATCGCACCTGGTGGCGGCACCTGACCTGAGGGCAAGACCTGACCTGCTGACATCGCACCTGGTGGCGGCACCTGACCTGAGGGCAAGACCTGACCTGCTGACATCGCACCTGGTGGCGGCACCTGACCTGAAGGCAAGACCTGGCCTGTTGACATCGCACCTGGTGGCGGCACCTGACCTGAAGGCAAGACCTGGCCTGTTGACATCGCACCTGGTGGCGGCACCTGACCTGCTGACATCGCACTTGGTGGCAAGACCTGACCTGCTGACATCGCACCTGAAGGCAAGACCTGACCTGCTGACATCGCACTTGGTGGCAAGACCTGACCTGAAGGCATCGCACCTGAAGGCAAGACCTGACCTGCTGACATCGCACTTGGTGGCAAGACCTGACCTGAAGGCATCGCACCTGAAGGCAAGACCTGACCTGATGGCATCGCGCCTGGTGGCAAGGCCTGACCTGAAGGCATCACACCTGAAGGCAAGACCTGACCTGATGGCATCGCGCCTGGCGGCAAGACCTGACCTGATGGCATCACACCTGAAGGCAAGGCCTGTCCTGATGGCAGCATGGGCAACGGTGGAGGAGGAGGTTGGTCTGAGCGCCCTAAATCCAGAGGGGCATGAGGGGAATTGGTCAATTCCAAACCCTGCGCCTGGGAATTCGGTAGCCTCAAATCCATAGCCCTACTAGTTCCCATAAGGTTACCAATACCTCTACTAATCCACCCAAGTCCAGCAAATCCTTGTGTTACCGACTCGGTACGGGAAATCAATGACCTGTTCTGTACACCTTCAAAAGCCCTAGTTCTTAATTCACTATTCTCTAGCGCTAAGGCTTCTACCTGAGCACGAAGTCTACGGCCCTCTTCATCCCTCAGAGCCATCAACTCGACCAGCTGTCGCCTCACTTCAGCTTGGACGTCACTCGAAGTCACTGAAGATGGTCGCGGCCCCGGAGGACAAGGAGACTCAGAAGGGTAGAGCAATGGTGCCCTGGCCTCCAAGTGCTCAATTCGCTGTAGCATCTCCTGGTTCAGCAGTGGCGTCGCCGGAACTTGACTCTCCGAAGGAGCCCTGTCACCCTTAGGAATTCCTCCAGATGAAGTCACCGACGCATATTCCACACTGTCCCGGAGCTCAGGCTGGGCTCCAACTCTTAGTCCACTCGTAGATTTCACAAAGCTTTCAACTGTCGTCGGCAACGTTTGAACAGCTCTCATCATACCCGAGAAAACATTCGAAGGAGCCGGAGCTGAACCCACAGGAACGTCCAGCGGACGCCCAGCCGAAACACTAGTTCCACTTCCCACATCTGGTTCACGTGCAACTCCCTGAGTTTCGGCAGCCTGCGTCGCCAATTCACCGACCCTGTATGGGGTCATCCCCGGGCCAAACACTCTGGGTTGACCTATCACTTCATCATCAATATCCAAGCTCCCACGTAGAACCTGTCTTGCTCCGTTGATCGTGGGGTTCTGGCCCCTTGTTCGATCACCAACAGCAGTAGTTTCGTTTGGGCTACTCATAACCTGAAAATCAACATCGCCGTCATGTAGATCATGAAGGTTTGGATTGTCATCTTGTAGATTCCCAGCCATGGTAATTGTTGTTGTACGTCTCAACGACTGAGAGACAGGGGCAAAGCTTCCATGGGCTTACCAGGCAGTCTACTATTTTCACGCGCAACGCACAAAGCGAGTTCTACTCTGCTTACGTCTCTTGTCTACGACAAGTGGCCTTGCAACGTGTTACTCGTGCATGGCCTAGATCATCAATGGTCTCTGACCTTCAATGAGCCGTCAAGGCTATGGTTGAATTCTTCATTAGCAGCATCAGAGTGGAACTACGACCTCTCTACAGAGCTACGTGTAGGGAGGGAATTCTACAGGGTTCCTTAAAGGGTTCCTTGAGGGATCTATAAGGGCTCTTTAAGGGGATGAAGGAAGATACCTGTTAATTGTAATAGGATCCCGAATATGATTGAAGGTATATCCCTCAGTTAAGGCATGCTGGATTCTCTGGGTATCGAACGTTTGCAACTCCGATGGGTTGAAACAACCACAAAACACAAGACATTGGTTTCCGTTATATTGGATTGCACGGGTTCTATAAGGGTTTACATAGGATCGTTGCGGGGTTTTTTGACAAGGGTATAAGACAAGGTTTCTACAAGGGTGTCAACAGGATGATGCCGGCCGGCTCAGAGGCCGGGCGATGCTGGCCGCAGCAAAGCTCCTGCCGAACTTTCGCGGGAGGTGGGAACCTGTCGCCTCACACGCTGGAGAGACGCCCTCCTGCCAAGCCTAGCCGTCGCTTGCGATCTCGGTGCCTTTTGTGCGCATATCCGGTCATCAACGCCACCTACGGCAAGGAGACCTCGTTTGCAAAGCATGCAGCTCGAAGCTTTGCAGAAGTGCCTCCGAGGCTTCCTTGTTTGAGTTTCACACTTGGTAATCCGTTTTTTGTTGCGCACTGACAGATGGCCAAGCTTGGGTGACTCCGCCTGCGAATGCTTCCTAGCGACATTTGGCCTTGTGAGTTCTAAGCCTTTTCAGCTACATCCGTGGGTTTGCAAAGTTTCCCACAACGATCGCCACTGAAACTGAAACTGAACTGAAATTGAAACTCATCCCCCCGAAAAATCTTGCAGCATTATAGAGCCTGGCATTGACTCAACGGAACTGAAACTGAACTGATACTGAACTAATACTGAGTTGAAACTGAACTGATACTGAACTGATATTGAACTGGTACTGAACTCATACTGAACTGATATTGAACTAATACCGAACTGATACTGAACCGAAACTGAACCCGCCTCCCCGCCCCTGCCATTCACCCCCACCTCGCGCCCGCCCCGCGCCCCTCTCCCCACCCCGCCACCTGCTCCCCCCTCACCACGCCTTAAACCAAACCCCTCTCCATACCTTTATAGGGGATCAACAAACATAGGCAAGAGATGGAGCCGGAGCCGTGGCCCTTGAACCCCTAAACCCAGAGCCCTATCTTACCGTAACAAGGCCCGGACAAGAAGACGGAACCCTAAGGGCTAAACCCCAAACTGCCCTAGCTTTGCGTTACCCTGCGCTGTGGACTCTCGATCGTAGAGGGATGCTTGTAGATGTCAATCAATGTATTCGGAACCTATCGATTTACGACCACCTCCATATCTACAGCGCGAAGCCCTACTGTGAATTTTAACCCCCCTTAAGCCTCCAATTGTTGGTCCCGCCGTCTTTCGTGAAACCCAAAGCCTGCAGGAAAAATGAAAACCTTTTATCCTTGTCTGGCGTCCTCTCTTGGATCTGAGCAGTAGGAAAAGCCAGCATTACAAAACCATTATGAAGAACCCCCTTTATTTCACACTTGCATAAGTAACTTCCGATAACCCGGGGATCAAAATAGCCCCAAAGCCTTATAAAGTATGGTCTTTGGCCACAAAGGCCCATGAGAAAGTCCTTAGAGAGCCCTATACGGTAAAGGAAGAAGCGCAGTCGGAGCCCCTGTAGATCTCAAATAGCCCCAAACCCTGAATCAGAAATCCTAGAACCCTAGAACCCAAAATGCAAACACCCTCAAAGCCTACACCTCCAGAGCATGGGCCCTTCATGAACAAAAGACTCCCCGAAGTAGAGCCTAAACTTAAGCGTGCAATGACAAAAAGTTTCCCAGCAGGTGCGGCCTTACCTGCGCCCCGACGTGCACATGAACTTCGGCCGAATGAGGCGGTGGAGGGCTCTAAATCTTTAGAGTTTAGGGTTTGCGGTTGGGGGTTTAGGGTTTAGGGTTCCCCGAGGACTGAAGCCTCTCATTGTCGGTACTTAAGCGATAGTAGCGAGTGGCGGAGAGATGCTGAAGTCTCTTTTAGGGGCCTAAATATTTACCAATACTAGTGCTGGGGTTCCTTTTCAGTATAGTAAAATATACTCCAAAACTCTGTTCGAGTTATTAAAAGGCTCCTATATTGGGTAGCTCAAGAGGGCTTTGGAAGGGCTTGAATTCAGGATGTAGAGGTTCTCGGTTGTAAAAGGTTTAGGATTTGAATGGCCGAAAGGCTTCAGGAATGAGGGCTAGGGGTTTTCGGTTGTACAGGGTTTCGGTGTTTAGGATTTGAAGCGCTGAAAGGCTTCAGGATTTAGGGCTTGATTTGTATGGCTCAAGAAATATTGATAGGTTTTTACGTTCTCCAACACCCCCAGCTGATTTGTCGGGGTTTACCTGTCTTAGTAGCCATAGCAGGAATGGTAGCAGCTCATGGTGATCGCGCTGAGCATCACTCAACACTCCGAACCCAGAGCGGTGCCTGACCACCGCCATGTTCTATTACCTAGGTGGCAATTTGGGAAACTTTTTAATTTCCCTTATGGTTCCTGTAGAGGTACCTATTCATAAATACTTTTCAGAGCCCCAAAACTACAACCCAGTCACCCGTTTACTTCCTAGTGGGGCTTAGAGCTGAGGGTCTTGGACTCAGTAAATCCAATCTTTTGAGTTTACGTATTGAGGTTTAGCTGCACCCTGAAATCCACTTGCTTAGGTATCCTCATTATGATTGCAGTTTGTGTTTCCCTAAAAGCTCCTAAACCAAGTAGAGTCCTCCACAGTCAGGGCTTTAGGGCAAGGTGAGTGCCCTGTTGTTGATGTTTCCCCAAGGGTCCAAGTACCTAATCATCATATATACTCTCCAAATTCCTAACCTACGTAACTACTATCCTAAAACCGAGTACCTAATTATTGGGTCCTTTGGACCCTTGGGGTCTCTGACTCCAGCCATTCCAAGTCTCAGACTGCAAGGGTGGAGGGCTGGGGGATGCAGTGACAAAGGCTAAGTCCGGAACCATAGGTTCTTTAAAAAACCTATGCACTTAAAAAAAAAAACCTGCACCCTAAACCGTAGGTGTCCAAGTAGCCAAATAGTAGCCAAAAACCACTGAGAGTATGGATGTTGGGACCTAAAACCCTGCTATTTGGGTAGTTGGAGCCTCTGGGTAAACCTTAAATTCTAAACCTTCAGCTCTACCATAAACGTTATAAACCTTATGCAGGCAGATGTGTACATCAATGTGTCCAGCAGAGAGAGCGGAGAAAAGGGTCCTGAAACTGGCGATGATTCGAGCTGTCGAAAGGAAGACCAGAAAGTTTGCATATGTATTTAAGACGATTAATGATTAGTGTTAAGATTCCCTGCACCTTACTACGGGGGCATTAGGATAATGATGCTAAGACTTTCTGGCTTCGACTTTGTTTACTTGCACATGGTGACTTCTCAAAGTTGGGATTGCTTCTTTTTCAGCGATCGGGTGGTCTTGGATTCCTGCCCTGACAGGTGTTGGAATACCGTGAAGACCGACTGCAGTTTCCAAGCAGCAGTATACGAAGGAGCGATGGCTCCGGAAATGAGTGCGGGCATCTTTTTCCCATGGTACAACCCCTTCTGAGACAGTGCAACTCCGCACTGGCGGCATGTGGTACAAAAGTTTAGGATTCTGCTAAAGTAATTTCGTTCTATTTCGACCCCTATTTGTCAAACGTCCGCAGTCCCCATGCTCGATTTGGGGCAATGGCTTCCTTTTTTGGCGTCAAAAACATTATTCCCATACCTCCTTGAGCAGGCGAGAGGAGTCAGCTCTCTTCCTAAACCTTACCCTGGGTTAGTAGGAAATGGAAGACTGGTAGTAACTTTGGGAATTGTGCCCCATTCCTCCATTTCCTACTAACCAAAGGTAAGAAACTTGACCAGTCAACCCCTTCAACCCTACACCTTACTCCCTACCAGGACCCTAAGAATCTTGAGTTGATGTGCTTGTATAAGGTGCTGAAAATGTGGGTCGTACATAAACCAAGGGTACGGTTAAGCTCTACTTGGAGGGTCGGGGGATTTAGTAACTGGTTATTTTAGGGGCTTATAAGTACCATGGGTCCCTTTTAGGGTCCGTATATGTCTACTTACTAACTACTTACTAAGTCCCCAGGCCCCCCAAGTATTAGCCCTAAGCCCCTCAACTCAGTCTGACCACTGGAGCTCGAGCCCTGCCCTGCGGAAGGCTGCGCCCGTCCACCTGCTTCCTGTTGCTGCAAGTGGCCGGGGTCAAGGAGCGCGGATGGTTGTTTGCAGGTTCTATTTTAGGAGCTAAATTGAGCATAGGTTTTAGTGAGGGTCGTTCAAGCGGGTTGTACAAGTGTTGTCAGAATCTGTTGAAGGTAGTACGAGCTGGAGTGGGGGTGATACAAGCATTTCAGAGTCTGTTCGAGGCCGGAGCAGGTGCAGGACACCAAAGCCAACTCCAACCCTGAACTCCAAGTCACGACAGCCCAAGACTGAAACTTAGACACCTCGACTCTCGACCTAAAACCACCCGGGCTTGAGATGTTCGGCAATCGCTAGCTTCTTCGTAGGGTTTCACGAAGAACTGTTTCCGGACTCTGCACAAGAGGTTGAGTACCGTCCTTCCGATCAGGTTTCCGTCTGCAGACGTCTAGGGTCTGAGCAATATATGGCTTCAGATGGGGATTTCTCTACAAGAAGTGCTCCTCACTACCCTAGTAGCACAAAACTCATGAACTCTAAACCCTCATCCCCTAAATGCCTAAACCCTAAACTATCTAAACCCTAAACACCGTCGTGACCTGTGTGGAACTCACAAGGCAGGCAGGGCTGGCAGCGAGCTTAGGCGCTGATTTTGTTTGCGGGGACAAGGCAGGGTTGAAAGCATTGGTGAAACGCGTGTCGGCCGGTCCAGAAAACCCGGCAGTATACATGCGTGCACTGCTAGCAGAGTTTGCTCCAGCTTCCACGGTCTTGGGAGTTATCTCCCGTCTGAACGCAGCGGACCCAGGAGCTCGGCACATACCTTGGGGAGGCTCAAGCGGCCTTGTCAAAGGCAACTGTGCACGAGACGGCTGCGTCATTGCAGCGGACGCCAATGTGGCCCAAAGCACTGTGATGTCCATCGCCGGACCAGTGGTGCAGACTGCCACTGGCGACAGCGCAACAGCATACGAGCTCGCGCCACAACTTGTGCTATGTTGGGGAGTGGCATTGCCACCGGGACCGCTCCGAGTGCCTCTGACCTGGCTGCGCTACCACCGTCGCTGCAATCGATGATGGCTGGCCCCGACTACGCAACGTTGCCCAGGATGGACAAGCTCGGAGCAGCGCCGGCAGCACTTTACGGGTGAGTTGCTGACCCTGGTTGTTGAAGCGACATGCTCGAATATCACATTTCCAGCATGCACTTGACGCGGCCAAAGCCTGCGCGGTGAGGAGTTATCGGGACGCAGTGAAAGCTCGCGCCGAGCTCTAGCACACTTCATGTGTCGGAAGCCCTGGCTCATAGTAATAAGCGTGGATTTAGGCTTCCTCAGCGATTAGGATCTGGGCTTTGGGGTTGGATGGGTCTGGGGTATTTGGGGTTACGTAGTGCTTAGTGCCTGGGGTGTAGGCTTCATTGGGGATTAGTCTTTGGGGTATTCGGGGGGCTTGATGATTTGCTTCTTGTTGGATTTCCACAATTTTCTTCGCAATGCTCTGTTTCGAGCTTTCCAAAGACACGGTCTGTCGCAAGAAATCAGGAGGGGAGCACCCTCCTCGACCCCATGGGCGGCGTCGGCACGATTGCCATAGAGGCTTGTTTGATGCCAAAACCAAAACTTCGACCCCCCTCTTAAACCTCCAAAAATGTCAGGACTTTAGAATTTAAGTATTAAGTTTCGGTGTTTCACTGATAAGGGAAAACTTATGCCCCCAACCTCCAACCCTGGTTCGTGGAGGCAAACTACTTTAGAAGGGCATGTGTAGGACTGTGGGTAATCGTTGAAGACTCATGTTTGATAATATTGGGGCCTTAATAGCTACCAATAGCATTGTGGGGGTTCCTGATTATAGTTATAGTACAATGGGCCCCAAAACCCAATTCTGATTATTAAGGCCCCTATTTTACACGGCTGTTTATCCAGCTAGTTCTGCCATCCGATTGGAAGCCACCACATGCAAAAAACGATATAACCTGATGAATCAAGCCCAAATCTTCACGGGCCAACACATGAGGATACCTAGTATATGAATAACACCTTCTTTTTTTGGATAAGGGGGCATAATTCAGAGGTATACTAGGTATCGATTTCAGGGTGATTTTGTTTTCCTTACTGTTTAAGGCAGAGCCCTAATTCCACGTTTTGGGGACTGCAAAAAATCCACACCTATATAAACCGACCCAATCGTTGACGGAAGTCCTCGTTCTTCCAGGTTACTCTTGACCCTAAACCCCTAAACCCCGACACCTTAAAGCCTAAACCCTAAATCCCCTCAAACCTCAGCCATACACCGTAACGCCCTAGGCTTATGTCTCCAACACCCAACATTCGGACTGTTGGGCTTTTCGCATGACAGAACCCTAAGGGTCCATGTGCCCAAATAGGTTCCTTTAAGAGTACCATAAGGGTTCCTTTAAGGGTTCTATGAGGTTTAGGGCTCAAAGGTCCATATACACCCAACTAGTAGATCCTTAAGCCCCAAAGGACCTATATAACGACTACTTTAAGTATATACTATTTAGGTACATGGACCCTGAATGGGTCTGCAACATTCAACCTGGTTGTCGTTGGGCATTCTTGGAAGATTATGGGTCCCATCTGTAGCTTGTCGCGCTCGGTAACGGTAAACAAAACTCATACATACTATCATCCCGTTTCGGGTTTAGGGTTTAGGGTTTAACCCTAAACCCTAAACTTTCTTCGGAAGGTCTATTGCACCAGGTCCTGCGCTATGCTCCTCAAGCCATGCGAGTTCTGGAAAGCGCTAAGCCCTCTCGGTTCGTATTCCATGCGGCTCTAAGGCTTTTCGAGATTTAGCAAAGGCCGAGGTTTTCCGAAAGAAAGCGTCACAGAACTCACGGTTAAGAATCCTGACTGAAGCCGAAAGCCCACCAAACAAGCTACTTAGGGGGCTCAGTAAGCGAGCATGCCCTAAACTACCACAGCCAAGTCTGTTGTAGGTTCTTGTTACAAACCGTAAAACAGAATAGATGGGACCCCACAAAGAAGCACGTTTTGCTAGGTTCAGGTATTGGCTACGCCACTTGAAAACCTCGCACATGAGCCTTAAGTATCGGGCTCCAAATAATACCAGACGCTATACCTAAACTCTCTCGGCACCTTGAACCCGAGCAAAGAAATTCCGCAAAGTTGTTGGACGTATTCCTTAGGGTTCCCCGTTAAGTTTTAGTTTACTGCTGCCCACCCCCGAGAATAAGTGGATCCCTTGCAGTGCTCTAGAACACTTCAAACGAACCCCGTAAAGGAGCCCTGGTCTAGTCATTATGGCCCATAGTATACCCTAAACCCTTAAGCCCTTAATTAAACCCTAAGACTCCGAATAGCCCAAAGTAGGTAGTGTTTTTATAGACTTTAGACCCTAAAGTAGGTACTATTTGTATACTTGGAGTCTTAGTCAAAGGAAGCCCTATTTCAGTCAATACAACTTGGGGCTTTAGGGAACGCCCTCGGGCCATGGTTCGGATCCGACGACGGCGGGCATGCCTACTCGGTGCGGCACCAAGCGGTTCAGGGTTTACGGTTCACGGGGGGTACCTTATGGGGTTCCTTTAATAGGGTTATTATAAGGGTACTAAAAGGGTTCCGGGCTCTAGAGGGGTTTAGGGTTTACGGTGTATAAAGTTGAAGCTTAGGGTTTTGAACTGCTTATCAAAGGCTGTAATGACAGTCATTGGGCGCTTTCCAACGAGTTGGATGGTCTTCAAAGCTCTGTACGGGTTTTATAGGGGTTGTTTATGATGAGGGGTTCTGATGAAGTAGGTCATTGAGGATCTTTCCTGTTAGAAGGATTATGAAACTCCCCCAGGTAATGCATACCCTAAATAACTCGAAAAACCCCGCCGGCAAAAGCCACAGAGTTCCGGATGCGTGACCAGTCAGCCCTACGTCAATACCCCAAGCCTGCTTGTTGACATTTTCAGGATTTAATACTAGTATGAGCCTAAACATGTGCCTTTACCTCTCTGAATTATTGGGCATGTAAGCCGACAAAAAGCTTGCATGACCATCCAGGTCTAGGATGCCCAGTAGTACCCTCATTCCCTTTTCGTAGTCCTAGGTTCCTTATAAGGTTACCCAACAGCAAAAAGGGAGCCCTTTTTATTCCTAAACTACTGGGCATCCTAGAGGTAGTCCTACGGTTGATGATATAAATCCTGCACTCGCCAAAAATAAGGAAAATGCCATTATTCCCATAGTTTAGAGTCTTTAAGGTAATGCAGGATGTATATCCCTAAACCCTAAACCCCTATGGATCCCTTAAAAGAGCCCCTTAGAGGTACCCTAGGTTCTAAACCCTGGATCTCCTTCGTTCTGAATCAAGTTTGTTCAGGGTTTTAAAGGGTTTAGGGTTTAGGGCTTTAGGGTTTTTAAAGGGTTTAGGGTTTTTTAGGGTTTCAGAGGGTTTAGGGTTTTAGGATTTTAAAGTGCTGCTTTCTTTCTGCTGGCACTGGAGAGAGACCCTAAGCAGCGCAATCCACCGCAAGGCCCTGCGACCCTAAACCCTACCTGGACCCTAAGAAGCCCACCCGTTTTGGGGGACTCCTTGATGGGACTTCCTTACATAAGAGTTTAGAGAGGTAGTATTCCCCAAAGGGTCCTAGGTACTGGTATGGAAAATCATCATAGAAATTCCTAATAGAGAAACCCTACATCCTACTATACAGGTGCTTTGGACCCTTTGGGAATTTAAAAAGGTCGTATTCGGGTTCAAGGCATAGACTACAAACTCACCAAGATTGCCACGAGACTGCTCAGGAATCGCAGCTGCTTTCTCCTCGGCTTCAGTGCTGGTGGTTCGTCAGGAGCCTGTCCATGTAGGGTTGTAGAGACTAAGGTTTAAGAACAGTAAGAATTCGGGGGTTTAGGGTCCAAGATCTAACATACAAGGATTTTGGCATGGCTTGACTAAAACCAACCCTTCATAGAACTTTTTGGCAAAACACCTAGAGTCAGAGAAACCCTACTCTAATTGTCAAGGCGTCTATGCTAGAGCCCCGAGGGGGGTCCGAGCTTGAAGTCCTCCCAGAAGCTGCTCCTGAAGCAGCAGCACTTCTGGAAGTTGGCGTTCAATACTATCGGGGCCAATATAATTACCAATAAATACTATAGGGGGTGTCCGTATTCTAGTTATAGGATAATGGGCCCCAAAACCCTATTCTAATCATCAAGGCCCCTATATTGCTCATACTGTGATTTGTAAGGGTTCCTCCTTGAAGACCTCTAGACTGCAAACCCTACACCGCTTTAGGCTGGGAGGCTTACCTGAGAAGCCTGAAGGCTAAAGTGGAAAGGGCCTGCACAGATGCCTTACAAAGCAGGGCAGCCTATACACAAAACACCACCAAGGCATATGCCACATACCCTCAGCCACAGATCTTCAGTATAAGGCCCTTTGACTGAGAGTTTAGGGCGTCGGCAGCAACACAGCACGCGAATCTACAGCCAGGGGGGGTCAAGGGTTGAGCGTTTCGGGCGTCCTAGACTGTTATGTAACCCCCCAAACCCTCGGCGATCCAGGCCTTAAACCTTCAATCCTCAAACCTGAGACGGCAATCCCTAGAGAGAGAGAGAGAGAGAGTGAGAGAGCGCGAGCGAGAGATCCACTTCTGCTCCTGTTCGTTTGAACAAAGTCGCTTGCCCCGGCATCACTCGGAGTCTTTTGAGACCAGGATGCCAGCGGCCACCACCTACCCGCGGTGGACATGGAGGCCCCCAAGATACCAAGACTCCGCCACTTGGGGGACTTAGTAACTGGTTATTTTAGGGACTTATAAGTACCATAACCCCAAGAAGGGTCTCCCTTTTAGGGTACTTATAAATCTACCTTACTAACTACTTACTAAGTCCCCTAAAGACCCCCCAAGCAAAAATACCAAGACTCCACCATGACCTCCCAAGGGCCCTCTAACAGAGGCCTTATGGTCCTTGATAACCCTTTTTTGGTCTGGGTACTCAGCCCCTGAGTCCATGCCCCAAACATGTAGCATCGTTTTTCTTCAGCCTGCCCGGCTTCATCGTCAAACTGAACCTTGAACCCCAGCCCTGAATAGGGGTGTAGTATTCAGAAGAGAGTTTTTGGGGGGGCCCAGTATAGTATACTTATAACAAGGAGCCCCCAAAATGGTATGGTCAGCCATTTAGGCCCCTATATTAAATCCGAACCCCTGCACCCCAAGTCGGAATCGCGAAGCCCTGATCAATGCCCCGATATACGCATCCCGACTGGCCCCAAAGCCCTAGGCCTTTAAACCCAGAGACTCCGATATCCCTTAATTAGGGAATATACCTTAAATTAATATCCCTGAATTAGGGAATATACCTTAAATTATAGTAGGATCCTTAACATGATTGAAGGCATATTCCTTAATTAAGGGGTGATTATTGGAGTCTCTGACAACCCTCAACCGATCATCCGACCTTGGACTACGGTTGATGAGATAAATCCTGCATTACCCATAATAAGGGCTATACCATAATTCCCATAGTTGCGGGTCCTTAGGGTAGTGCAGGATTTAGATCATCAACCGTATTGGGGGACTTCGTCAATCGCTGATGGCTCGAGAGACAAGTAG